CAGGCCCCAGCGTGCCTGGGTGGAGGTGGTGGCATGGTACAGGCAGGCTGCAGTGGGAGACCTGAGGCTTGGAAGGAGGGGGACGTGACACCTCCTCACCCGTGTTGTGATGGTATTCACGTTAGGTCCTCTCAAAGCCCAGCTGCTTCCCCACAGGGGTGACCAGGTCCCACCTCCATACCCTGCAAAGATCAGGGGATCACAAATCCCCCGCAAACACCAGGCACCTCTTGTGACAGTTTCCTACCGCAAATTATTTCTCTCTGCTGCAAAGATCAAATGTTTGTATGACCTGTGATCAAAACATCATGTTTTTATGACCCAGATGTGGCAGCCTTGGGAGGGAGATAGACATTTGTCCAGGATACACGTGATGGACCTTCACTGCCTTGCCACAAATGGGCATCTCTAATCTGACCATATCCTGCTCCTGCCAGGCCCGGTGTGGCTGGGAGCGTGGCCCCTCGCCTGTGCTGATACCCCAGAGCAGGGGTGCGGCTGTTTGACCCAGCTCCAGGCAGCGCTTGTGCATCGCAGGAACTGTGGGGGGTGTCCTGGAGCACCACGTGAGTTTGGCCGTGAGCAGGACGTGACTAAACTGGGGAGGTGCCTGCATGCTCCTGACTCGGTGGCAGCTGCCTCTGGGGCATGCCTGGGGACGTTGGGGAACTGGAAGAGTCCCAGCACTGAGCTCAGAGGCAAATCTGCCCGACCCACTACGTCAACAACGGAAACGCAGGGAGAGGTATACAGATAACAGCCAACAAATGGGATTTCATGGTTAAAGGCATCAACGTTTTGTCAGCCGTCAGAAAAGAGGAAAGGTAGAGAAACCTCCCTTTGCAAGGAGCAGCATGCAAGAAATCTCATGAAAAAGAGAGGAAAACTCCATCTCCATTACTTATCATCTGTGTGTAAATGTGGGCTGTGGAGTCTATTCCCGGGACTGCTCCCCGGGGCCCTGCCATCCTCCTCCTCCAGCCAACCTCATCTGTGACCTCAGTCAGTGACAAACACAATCCCAGCCCTGCCAGCCCTCAATTAACTTCCTTCTGTCCATACCACAGTTCAGGACGGCATGATTCACGCTTAACTTGAGGAGTTGTTTGCTAAAAGCTAAAAATAGTAAGACTTTTGTTAGCTTTGGGTATGTTAAAGCCAGCCCCACACCAGCTAAATAGTCTGGCTTCTATAGGGGTAGCATTTGCCTAAGGTGGACTGATTTTTAAACGTCTGCATTGCCTCTCCATGTATTTAAATAATTTGGCCCTAAAGCAGCAGAATATAGAGCTTGCATTTTCCCCTCCTTTTAAATTCAAGACACCTTTATTATAATGTATCTGCCTGTCCTGTGTAGCTGGTGGTGTCTTGCCTTTGGCGTTACCCTGTTTGCGTGAACAGCAACTCTAACATAAGAAGATAGTGGGCGAAAGAACGTCAAGACCCCCAGCAACAATTTAAAAATTCATTAAGCTACAATAGGCCAGCCATTGCTGAGTAATTATTAAGCTGTAAGAATTGCTAATTGTCTTATTAGCATTAAACAATTATGCAAATAATGGAAAACATACCGTAAGAGTAATAAAATTACCTTCCTTTCTCTCTCTCTTTTTTTTTTTTTTAAAACAATAATGAGATTTAAAATTTAAAGTTATGTTTATGGTTTTGCTCTCCAGGGTTTATTGGGAACGTCTTTGGAGAGGAGTGAGACCTCTAAGAGCACTCAGCACAGGGTGAGTAGGACATCTTGAACCGCATCTACCACGAGTCATCTTGCAGGGCTTGTAGTGCCACTGCAGCAGGCTGTCCCCTCATTCTGCACCCACTGCAGCCACCCAGGCAGCAACACAGGGACACGCAGGTGCCGACGGCTTTGGAGGACCACGCAGTGGTCACGCTGCTAGGCCAGGACTGGAGGGAGAGAGTTTGAATTTTGCACTATCATGGACTTCCTATGGGAGCCCCCGTTCTCCCCCAAATAAAGCACATGGTGCTTCAGGTTTGGTCTGGATGAAAACAAGGCAATTTGTAGTTTTTCACATCAATTCAGCACAAAAGTGGAAAGTTCTGGCCTTTAAAGTTATGGTATCTTAAGGATTTTATTACTATCAAGTTTGTAAATTGAGGTAAGAGCTAGCCTCTCTTCCAGGTGAGGTTCCAGCTGGATTTCGGAGGTCAGCAATAAGCCGAATGCTGAGCAAGTGCATTTGTGTTCCTGTGAAACGAGAACAAGACCTTGTTTACCCCCACCGCTA